AAACGAATGTCAAGTATTAACACGTATTTTAACGCCGCCTTTCACACCAAGTCTGAAACTGACGGACTGTGTCGCTAAGTAAATTAGAATGGGAGCCTGCTCTGCTTTCTCTGCTGTACGGATGTGTTAAAATCAGACTCTGTCGTCATGGTTGCAGCCCAAACAAACATGCAACAGGATGGTGGCAGAACTCTTGTTTGCAGCAGTGCCCAAAAGCTTATATGACAGCACGCTGACCATAAAAACGCGAGGGTTAAAGACAATACCTGGTGGACGAGAGCTGAGAAGCTGTGAGTGATGGTGAGTTACAGCGACTGTATTTAACCACCTGTCATTCACTCCTTTCTAATGAGAGGAGCAACAAACAGAAGCAGAGCCTCGAATTCCCCACTGACAGACGGAATACCTGCAGAATCGCTCGTCATGCAGCGTTAGCTCCTGTAGGAGGCGCTGGAGCTCCCCGAGTTGTCACCTTTTTGTAAAATGAGATGTACCCAGTAGAGGCACTGTTTAGTTGCAGTGCCTGAAAGATTAAACGTTTCCAGAGTGTTTAGACAAAAACGGCGTGAAGGTCCCACTACGCTAAAATCGCATTCGTCTTCACGTCCGAAAAAAGCTTACTTTGTGTCGCCCTCGATCGGTATCGGCTAATCATGTTGAAAGGTGATCAGCGATCGGTATCGTCCCCATAAACACTGATTGGTCCATCTCTACTGAACACATTCAGTGGTGTTGAGGTCTGGACTCTGGGGTGGTCAGTCCATCGTTCAGCTTCTTTGTTTGATGTGTCCGTCTCCTTTTCTCAGTGAGGTTCTTCTTGATCAGCTACACATCCTTTCAGACCCACAGCGCTGAGTCGTCTTCTCACAGTGGAAGGATGGACAGAAACACCTGTGGATGTTTTCAGATCTGATCAGCTTGATTTTCTCCTCTCTCTCAGAGATGAAAGCTTTAAGTGCTGTTTATCTGTTGGGGGCAGTTTTGGGGTCGACCAGCTCTTCCAGGTGGTTGTTAGGAGACTCATTGTTTCTGGAGCTTTTAACCTTTGACCTTCTCTTACATTATGCAAATGGATTATCTTACATCTAATATCCTCACGAATATCTGCTGAAGAATGAATGAGTTGTACCTGGTGGCGATTTTGACTGTAGATGAGTTAAATGAAGGGTGGTGTTCTTCACGGCGCTGTGTGTTTGTGTGTGTTACCTGCTGCACTGCTGGTATGACTCTCTCCATCTTCATCATTCTGTCTCTGAGCGCTCGGATCTCTTCATCCTTCAGGTTGTTTTGTTCCTTCACCTCCTGCAGGATGTCCGTCAGCTTCTCCAGGTGAGCCTTCAGGTCGTACACGCCTTTCTGCCTCGCCCCTCCCTCTGAGGCCACGCCCACATCCTGCCCACGCTCCTCGCCCACGCCCACTGTCTCCCACACGTCCTGGGCTACTTCCTTCCACAGCTCTCGGTCCTCTGGCTCCTTCTTACCGTACATCCTGAACAGCTCCTTCAGCTTCACGATGGCCAGAGCCTGGATCTCCCTCAGAGTATGTTTAAAATCCCCCAGCGCCACCTGCAGACAGGACCGGTAATTTACCTACTGCTGCAACAATTCACAAACTGGATGATAAGAATATTATGTTAGTTATAACAAAAATAAACTCAATAATCGTCTCTATAATGTTCATATGATCCACACAGTCACTCTGACAGACTGTAATACACTACAGGAAGCGTAGGGGGCGATATGACTTCTACTGTTTCATTTAAACAGCTCTATAATGTTCATATGATCTATGAGGTCAGTACCTGGTAGCAGATCTCCTTGACGGCCTGCAGCTGCAGGTCACACACCGTCACACTCTCGGGGTCTTTACTGATACGTCGGCGTTGGGGGATCTGATACACGCGTTGGGGCTCACGCCGCTTACCACTGCTGGGTAATCCACAGCGCTTCACTATACACTGCACCTGCAGACAAACGGCACGAGTTACGGTGTGAGGTAATATATCTGACACTGATTCATACAGGTGGGTGACAAAGCAAAAACCTGAATAAACGAGTGCAAAAACATAACGAGTGATGCTTCCAGGCAGCTGTACTGCATGGTACAATACGTTGTTTGCGGTCAAGTGATTCAGATGACCAAATCCTGATGGACAGCAGGACATGAAGAGCAGAATGGGGAGATGGCGGCGAGCCGCACTGTGCTAGTTTAGACGATATTACGAGAGAAAGGTATAAACAGAAAATCACAGCAGATGCTGGACGTGGTCCCTCTGTTATGAAGACGAGCAATTTTTCACCTGAACTGAAAGACTCGCCTGGTATCGAGGCAGCAGATATGAGCAGCCACCTCATCCTCCAGACGTCCTTCTACTCAAGATCACTAATGAAAGCACACAAAAGTGGGGAGGCACAATTTTACGAGGCTGAAGCTGGCTTCCGGTTCCAATTTTCCCGTTCCACCTTAAATGGGCAGCAGTTATTATTATATTGCCTGATGCCAGAGTGTAACTTTTAAGGTGGAACGGGAAAATCTGAACAAGAGGCTGGCCTGGCTAAGTTATTTACATTCTCCTGTCTTTTGTGCTGCTGCTTGTAGTTACTGTTTGAAATCTATCACCACATGAACTGACCAGAATACACACTCTGCTCCTCCCTCCAGCTGCCCATCCTGTGGGTCTGATGCTGTTGCTTTTAGAAGAACACTGTTCAATCCCTCCAGAACAGTTCCAGAGAGCTCGAGAGCCAGTTCTGGCAGCTCGTTGTGGTTATTTTGGCCTTTACTTTGTCACCCCGTATATATATATACATGTATTTGGTACATGGTGCGGCTGTGTGGGTGTCTGTGTGCAGGTGTATGTAGTACCTTGTTAGCTGGTAGTTTCTCTCGGAGAGAAGAGATGAGTCTCCAGCTTTCCTCACAGGAGCGTTTATCAGAGTCATCACCGCTGTCTGAATCTGCGTACTGGACACACACACACACACACACACACACACACACACACAGACACACACACACACGTGTCTGACAGTGAAGAGAGAGGCTGCTAGCGCTGCTCTATGAAGGCTCCTCTGCACTGCCAGCTTTACAGTCAATGAGGGAGTCAGAGTACTTGAACATTCAAACAGTCACGAACGTTTAAAAATCAAACAGTAAACTGGGATTTTTCAGTTTCAGATTTCGGCTGATTTCAGTTTTAATCAAGAATTTTCACTTTGGTATCTACGAGGTGAGGATCCTTCAGGGACATAACGGCCGAGAAACACAGCCTGTCGCTTCAAGACAGAGCCTCTCTCTCTCTCTCTCTCTCTCTCTCTCTCTCAATTCAACTGAAAGGGCTTTACTGGGGAGACAAATAATGCTACAATTACACAGCCAAAGCAGCAGGTTACAGTTTGGGTACGTGAACCATCAGAACCCACTTCTGTCTACACAACATTTCTACCTGTCGCGCTGCCTCAGCAGAGCCGCCAAGATAGTCCCCCACCCACCCTGCCTATGGACCGCTCAGCCTTCTGCAGACCCCACCCACCCTGCCCATGGACTGCCCAGCCTTCTGCAGACCCCACCCACCCTGCCCATGGACTGCCCAGCCTTCTGCAGACCCCACCCACCCTGCCCATGGACTGCCCAGCCTTCTGGAGACTCTAAACTATAAAACTATACACATAAATATTACAGAGACACATACAGGACAGTGTAAACCAATTATGTGTATGTCTCTCTCTCTCTCTCTCTCTCTCTCTCACCAGTCTGTGTTGCTCCAGTAGCAGATCAGCTTCTTCTTTCTCTCTGCGGTACTGAAGCTCCAAATCCTGCAGCCTGAAACACAAAATATACCAATTCACACTTTTATTTTATTACTGTAGTAAATCTCTCTCTCTCTCTCTCTCTCTCTCTCTCTCTCTCTCTTTCTCTCTCTCTCTCTCTCTCTCTCTCTGTCTCTTTCTCTCTCTCTCTCTCTCGCTCTACCTCTTGTCCATCTCCAGTTTGATGTCTATGCCCTGGTTCTCCAGCAGTTCTCTCTGGGCATAGCTCCAGTCCACTGGCTCCCCCTGCTGCTCACAGTTGGCGGTGCGCTCTCTCTCCAGCCGAGCCTGCTCCGGGTGATTAAAGCGGAACACGTGGTTCTTCCCCATCACGATACGGTTACCTAGCACACACACACACACACACACACACACACAATTACAGACCTCTGTAGAAAAGATCAGCAGCACTGTTAAAGAACCCACATCATATTTTATTGTGTCCATTTATATTTTTGGCGTGATTCTATAAACAATCATAATTGACTTTTACTTGACCATTTTCAATCTGCTGTAGGCTGAATGGGTGGAGCTAAACTGCTGTAGACTGAATGGGCGGAGCTAAACTGCTGTAGACTGTATGGGTGGAGCTAAACTGCTGTAGCTGAATGGTGGAGCTAAACTGCTGTAGCTGAATGGTGGAGCTAAACTGCTGTAGACTGAATGGTGGGGCTAAACTGCTGTAGACTGAATGGGTGGAGCTAAACTGCTGTAGCTGAATGGTGGAGCTAAACTGCTGTAGCTGAATGGGTGGAGCTAAACTGCTGTAGCTGAATGGGTGGGGCTAAACTGCTGTAGCTGAATGGGTGGAGCTAAACTGCTGTAGCTGAATGGTGAAGCTAAACTGCTGTAGACTGAATGGTGGAGCTAAACTGCTGTAGCTGAATGGTGAAGCTAAACTGCTGTAGCTGAATGGTGGAGCTAAACTGCTGTAGCTGAATGGTGGAGCTAAACTGCTGTAGACTGAATGGTGGGGCTAAACTGCTGTAGACTGAATGGGTGGAGCTAAACTGCTGTAGACTGAATGGGCGGGGCTAAACTGCTGCTATGTAAGAGAATGTGATACCTTGTTTGAGCACCGTTGGTTCAGTAATCTGTTTCCCGTTGACGTAAGTCTCCGCCCCTTCTAACGGCTCCAGTGTGACGACCACTAAAGAGAGAGAGAGACAACTTATCAATTACACACACACACACACACACACACACACACACACACACACACACACAGACAGACAGACAGACTTTGAATGACTGAATGTAATGAGATTCAGGCGTTTACACTGATATTATTCTTCTATTTAACGGATTATTTACAGTCCGATAGAAACTGTATTCTGAATGGCCTCAATCGGACTAGACTGTTCCCACTGAGCTGTTTACATGGACGTGTTCTATTCAGGTTGAGCTATTAGTCGGATTATTAACGGATTATTAGGCTGCATGTAAACGTGGCTACTGACACAGAACTGGACTGAAGATGGGAGATTCTGTAAGAGGAGAACTCCAAACATGCTGTAACTGCATTAGATCTGAACTGCACATTCAAAACCTCTGATATCGATGAAAAAATCACAGACCAACTATAAAGTGATGGACGAGACCAGATCACGTGAATTAGGCTGCGTTCACACAGCAGGTAAAAGGAGGCCAAATCTGATTTTCTCACCAAATCTAATTTCTTTGTTTGTCTGTTCAGATTGTCTTTTAAATGTGATCTGTATCATCAGTCTGAACAGATCAGCTCCTAAACTGACCCTCGTGCTCTAAAGATCAGAGCGTCACGCTGCTTCACGGCTCATCCAGAGGGAAACAATCACGACCGCCAGCGAACGCCAGTCGCTCCCGGAGGATCAGCTTCATCTTCACCAGCATCACAGGAGCCATCATGAAGCTTCACTGACTGACAGCTGGGCTCATCACCCAGAATGTGTTGGAGCCGTAAAAAGGGCACGGTCACTTCTTTGGTTCGCGTCCTCGGATTCATTAAACTCTGCTTTCAGACTTTTAACTGTTCTCTGACGCTGCAGCCTCGTTCTCCTGCGGCCGCGTTCGGGCATTTCTTTCTGAATCTCTTCAAACACGGAGGAGTTTCTGATGAGTCCCTAATAATTTTTATACAGAAATATCAGCCTAAATGTTTCTGAGTCTCAGCAGTGTGAGATTCTGATGAAGGTCGAGTTGGATTAACATAAAGGTTGCATGAATTCCCATCTGGCTGTTCAGACTGAGTCACGCTGCCACAGATCGGATACGGATCGGATTTCAGTACCACATATGAAAACATCTCAAATCAGAATTGAAGATGTCAGATTCAGTGTGTTTATCTGTTCACAGACACACATCTGAGTCACATACGGACAAAAAGATCAGATTGGGCCACTTTTACCTGCTGAGTCTGTTAATAATGAGAACATCTACAGAAGATCTGATGAGGACCGTCCAAACACAGTGGGACCAAATCTGATTAGGACCGATTCAGAACCTTTCAGCACAGAATCGAGATGAATCTCAGAGGTGGTTATTATTACCCCCCCAGCAGATGGTGGGCGGTGAGTGTGTGTGGGGGGGTTCGTACATGTATGTGTGTATGTACAGAAAGATCAGAGGGATCAGATGGTCTGATGCTGAATGGATGAAAAGACAAACAGACGGACTGACAGACATGAACACAGTGATACCTGTACAGAGTCCACGCAACTTTTCCAGAAGCAGAGAAACAGAACAGACCTGTGTTTATCACTGAAACCACACACTCTTACTCACTTAGGCCTGTTTTACTGCAGACATGGCGACAGCACTGCATACAGTTCAGTACAGTCCAGTGTTAATCAGTCACTGACAGCGTTTACAGACACTTAACATCTGGGGTCGTATCACAGAACCATCCTAACTCTGACATCTGATCTGTTTAGTCTCCATGACTGAATTTAGTTCAGTATCTATTCCAGAATATCAGTTCCTACCTTCATAATCTCATCATGAACTCCAGATAAGAAAACAGCATCACACAAACATCCTAACTAGACTAAACCTCCTAAATCCTGTCCTAACTTTAGGATGAACCCCAACAGGGTCCTCACTTCTGTTTAAGGTCCGTTTCTATGGTTTTTAGGCAGCTGAGTCAGCAGCATAGTTCACAACGTTTAACACAGCATTTAACAAAGCATTTAACACTGCGTTTAACGTATCATTTAACCTAGCGCTTAACGCGGCGCTGAACGCAGCGTTTAACGCAGTGTTTAACAGCGTTTAACATGACATTTAACACAGCACTTAACATGACATTTAACACAGCCTTTAACACAGCACTTAACACAACTTTAAAACAGCCTTTAACACAGTGTTTAACGCAGCATTTAACGCAGCGTTTAACAAAGAGTTTAACACAGCACTTAACACAGCACTTAACACAACGTTTAACACAGCGTTTAATACAGCGCTTAACACAGCGCTTAACACAGCGTTTAACACTGCATTTAACGTAGCGTTTAACACAGCGTTTAACACAGCGTTTAACACAGCGCTTAACACATCGCTTAACACAATGTTTAACACAGCCTTTAACACTGCATTTAACATAGCATTTAACATAGCGTTTAACACAGCCTTTAACACTGCGTTTAACATAGCGTTTAACACAGCGTTTAACACAGCATTTAACGCTGCGTTTAACACAGCGTTTAACACAGCGTTTAACACAGCATTTAACACAGCCTTTAACACAGCATTTAACACAGCCTTTAACACAGCGTTTAACACAGCCTTTAACACTGCATTTAACGTAGCGTTTAACGCAGCGTTAAACTCCGTGTTAAACTGTGTTAAACGCTGTGTTAAATGCTACGTTAAACTCTGTGTTAAACTCTGTGTTAAACTGTGTTTATCGGCGTGTTTAACACAGAGTTTAACGCAGAGTTTAACACAGCGTTTAACACAACGTTTAACACAGCGCTTAACACATCGCTTAACGCAATGTTTAACACAGCCTTTAACACAGCCTTTAACACAGCGTTTAACACAGCCTTTAACACAGCCTTTAACACAGCGTTTAACACAACGTTTAACACAGCGCTTAACACATCGCTTAACGCAATGTTTAACACAGCCTTTAACACAGCCTTTAACACAGCGTTTAACACAGCCTTTAACACAGCCTTTAACACAGCGTTTAACACAACGTTTAACACAGAGTTTAACACAGCCTTTAACACAGCGTTTAACACAGCCTTTAACACAGCCTTTAACACAGCCTTTAACACAACGTTTAACACAGCCTTTAACACAGCGTTTAACACAGCCTTTAACACAGCGTTTAACACAGCCTTTAACACAGCCTTTAACACAGCGTTTAACACAACGTTTAACACAGCCTTTAACACAGCGTTTAACACTGCGTTTAACACAGCCTTTAACACAGCGCTTAACACAGCCTTTAACACAGCGTTTAACACAACGTTTAACACAGCCTTTAACACAGCCTTTAACACAGCATTTAACACAGCGGTTAACACAACGTTTAACACAGCGTTTAACACAGCCTTTAACACAGCGTTTAACACAGCGTTTAACACAGCGTTTAACACAACGTTTAACACAGCCTTTAACACAGCGTTTAACACAGCCTTTAACACAGCACTTAACACAGCACTTAACACAACTTTAACACAGAGTTTAACACAGTGTTTAACACAGCACTTAACACAACGTTTAACACAGCATTTAACAAAGCATTTAACACTGCGTTTAACGTATCATTTAACCTAGCGCTTAACGCGGCGCTGAACGCAGCGTTTAACGCAGTGTTTAACAGCGTTTAACATGACATTTAACACAGCCTTTAACACAGCGTTTAACACAACACTTAACACAGCACTTAACATGACATTTAACACAGCCTTTAACACAGCACTTAACACAACTTTAAAACAGAGTTTAACACAGTGTTTAACGCAGCATTTAACGCAGCGTTTAACAAAGAGTTTAACACAGCACTTAACACAGCACTTAACACAACGTTTAACACAGCGTTTAATACAGCGCTTAACACAGCGCTTAACACAGCGTTTAACACTGCATTTAACGTAGCGTTTAACACAGCGTTTAACACAGCGTTTAACACAGCGCTTAACACATCGCTTAACACAATGTTTAACACAGCCTTTAACACTGCATTTAACATAGCATTTAACATAGCGTTTAACACAGCCTTTAACACTGCGTTTAACATAGCGTTTAACACAGCGTTTAACACAGCGTTTAACACAGCATTTAACACAGCCTTTAACACAGCATTTAACACAGCCTTTAACACAGCGTTTAACACAGCCTTTAACACTGCATTTAACGTAGCGTTTAACGCAGCGTTAAACTCCGTGTTAAACTGTGTTAAACGCTGCGTTAAATGCTACGTTAAACTCTGTGTTAAACTCCGTGTTAAACTGTGTTTATCGGCGTGTTTAACACAGAGTTTAACGCAGAGTTTAACACAGCGTTTAACACAACGTTTAACGCAGCGTTTAACGCAGCGTTTAAAGCAGCGTTTAACGCAGCGTTTAACACGTTTAACACAGAGTTTAACACAGCGTTTAACACAGCATTTAACACAGAGTTTAACACTGCGTTGAACGCAGAGTTTAACACAGAGTTTAACGTAGCGTTTAACGCAGCGTTTAACACAGTTTAACACGGAGTTTAACACAGAGTTTAACGTAGCCTTTAACGCAGCGTTTAACACAGCGTTTAACACAGCGTTTAACACAGCGTTTAACGCAGAGTTTAACACGTTTAACACAGCGTTTAACACAGCGTTTAACACAGCGTTTAACACAGCGTTTAACGCAGCATTTAACGCAGCGTTTAACGCAGCGTTTAACGCAGCGTTTAACGCAGCGTTTAACACAGAGTTTAACACAGTGTTTAACACAGCGTTTAACACAGCGTTTAACACAGAGTTTAACGCAGCGTTGAACGCAGAGTTTAACGCAGCGTTTAACGCAGCGTTTAACGCAGCGTTTAACGCAGCGTTTAACACGTTTAACACAGAGTTTAACACAGAGTTTAACGTAGCATTTAATGCAGCGTCTAACACAGTTTAACGCAGCGTTTAACACAGCGTTTAACACAGCGTTTAACACAGCGTTTAGCGCAGCCTTTAACACAGCGTTTAACACAGTTTAACACAGCGTTTAACACAGAGTTTAACACAGAGTTTAACGCAGCGTTTAACACAGCGTTTAACGCAGCGTTTAACGCAGCGTTTACCGCAGCGTTTAACACGTTTAACACAGAGTTCAACACAGAGTTTAACACAGAGTTTAACGCAGTGTTTAACGCAGCGTTTAACGCAGCATTTAACGCAGCGTTTAACACGTTTAACACAGAGTTTAACGCAGCGTTTAACGCAGCGTTTAACACAGCGTTTAACACAGCGTTTAACACAGTTTAACGCAGAGTTTAACGCAGAGTTTAACGCAGTGTTTAACACAGAGTTTAACGCAGCGTTTAACGCAGCGTTTAACGCAGCGTTTAACACAGCGTTTAACACAGCGTTTAACACAGTTTAACACAGAGTTTAACGCAGAGTTTAACGCAGAGTTTAACGCAGTGTTTAACGCAGCGTTTAACGCAGCGTTTAACGCAGCGTTTAACGCAGCGTTTACCGCAGCGTTTAACACGTTTAACACAGCGTTTAACACAGAGTTTAACACAGAGTTTAACGCAGCGTTTAACGCAGCGTTTAACGCAGCATTTAGCGCAGCGTTTAACACGTTTAACACAGAGTTTAACGCAGCGTTTAACGCAGCGTTTAACGCAGCGTTTAACGGAGCGTTTAACGCAGAGTTTAACGCAGCGTTTAACACAGCGTTTAACACAGTTTAACACAGTTTAACACAGCGTTTAACACAGAGTTTAACACAGCGTTTAACACAGAGTTTAACGCTGCGTTTAACGCAGCGTTTAACGCAGCGTTTAACGTAGCATTTAACACAGCGTTTAACACGTTTAACACAGCGTTTAACACAGAGTTTAACACAGAGTTTAACGTAGCATTTAATGCAGCGTCTAACACAGTTTAACACGGAGTTTAACACAGAGTTTAACGTAGCATTTAACGCAGCGTTTAACACGTTTAACACAGCGTTTAACACAGCGTTTAACACACCGTTTAACACAGTTTAACACGGAGTTTAACACAGAGTTTAACACAACGTTTAACATAGCCTTTAACGCAGCGTTTAACACAGCGTTTAACACAGCGTTTAACACAGCGTTTAACGCAGCGTTTAACACGTTTAACACAGCGTTTAACACACCGTTTAACGCAGCGTTTAACACGTTTAACACAGAGTTTAACACAGTGTTTAACACAGCGTTTAACACAGCATTTAACACAGAGTTTAACACAGCGTTGAACGCAGAGTTTAACGCAGCGTTTAACACAGCGTTTAACGCAGCGTTTAGCGCAGCGTTTAACACGTTTAACACAGAGTTTAACACAGAGTTTAACGCAGAGTTTAACGCAGCGTTTAGCGCAGCCTTTAACACAGCGTTTAACACAGTTTAACACAGCGTTTAACACAGAGTTTAACACAGAGTTTAACACAGAGTTTAACGCAGCGTTTAACACAGCGTTTAACACAGCGTTTAACGCAGCGTTTAGCGCAGCGTTTAACACGTTTAACACAGAGTTTAACACAGAGTTAACGCAGAGTTTAACGCAGCGTTTAGCGCAGCCTTTAACACAGCGTTTAACACAGTTTAACACAGCGTTTAACACAGAGTTTAACACACCGTTTAACGCAGAGTTTAACGCAGCGTTTAACACAGCGTTTAACACAGACTTTAACACACCGTTTAACGCAGAGTTTAACGCAGCGTTTAGCGCAGCGTTTAACACGTTTAACACAGAGTTTAACACAGAGTTTATCACAGAGTTTAACGCAGCGTTTAACGCAGTGTTTAACACGTTTAACACAGAGTTTAACACAGCATTTAACGCAGCGTTTAACGCAGCGTTTAGCGCAGCCTTTAACACAGCGTTTAACACAGTTTAACACAGCGTTTAACACAGTTTAACACAGAGTTTAACACAGAGTTTAACACAGAGTTTAACGCAGCGTTTAACGCAGCGTTTAACACAGCGTTTAACACAGCGTTTAACACAGCGTTTAGCGCAGCGTTTAACACGTTTAACACAGAGTTTAACGCAGCATTTAACACAGCGTTTAACACAGCGTTTAACGCAGCGTTTAACACAGCGTTTAACACAGCGTTTAGCGCAGCCTTTAACACAGCGTTTAACACAGTTTAACACAGCGTTTAACACAGTTTAACATAGAGTTTAACACAGAGTTTAACGCAGAGTTTAACGCAGCGTTTAACGCAGCGTTTAACGCAGCGTTTAACGCAGCGTTTAACGCAGCGTTTAGCGCAGCGTTTAACACATTTAACACAGAGTTTAACACAGAGTTTAACACAGAGTTTAACGCAGCATTTAACACAGCGTTTAACGCAGCGTTTAACACAGCGTTTAACACAGCGTTTAGCGCAGCATTTAACACGTTTAACACAGAGTTTAACACAGAGTTTAACACAGAGTTTAACGCAGCGTTTAACACAGCGTTTAACACAGCGTTTAACACAGCGTTTAGCGCAGCATTTAACACGTTTAACACAGAATTTAACACAGAGTTTAACGCAGAGTTTAACGCAGCGTTTAACACAGCATTTAACGCAGCGTTTAACGCAGCGTTTAGTGCAGCGTTTAACACGTTTAACACAGAGTTTAACGCAGCGTTTAACACAGTTTAACACAGCGTTTAACGCAGCGTTTAACACGTTTAACACAGAGTTTAACGCAGAGTTTAACGCAGAGTTTAACGCAGCGTTTAGCGCAGCCTTTAACACAGCGTTTAACACAGTTTAACACAGCGTTTAACACAGAGTTTAACGCAGAGTTTAACGCAGAGTTTAACGCAGCGTTTAACGCAGCGTTTAACGCAGCGTTTAGCGCAGCGTTTAACACGTTTAACACAGAGTTTAACGCAGAGTTTAACGCAGCGTTTAACGCAGCGTTTAACGCAACGTTTAGCGCAGCGTTTAACACGTTTAACACAGCGTTTAACGCAGCGTTTAACGCAGCGTTTAACGCAGCGTTTAGCGCAGCCTTTAACACAGCGTTTAACACAGTTTAACACAGCGTTTAACACAGTTTAACACAGAGTTTAACACAGAGTTTAACGCAGCGTTTAACACAGCGTTTAACACAGCGTTTAACGCAGCGTTTAGCGCAGCGTTTAACACGTTTAACACAGAGTTTAACGCAGCGTTTAACACAGCGTTTAACGCAGCGTTTAACGCAGCGTTTAACACAGCGTTTAACACAGCGTTTAGCGCAGCCTTTAACACAGCGTTTAACACAGTTTAACACAGCGTTTAACACAGTTTAACATAGAGTTTAACGCAGCGTTTAACGCAGAGTTTAACGCAGCGTTTAACACAGCGTTTAACACAGCGTTTAACACAGCGTTTAGCGCAGCGTTTAACACGTTTAACACAGAGTTTAACACAGAGTTTAACACAGAGTTTAATGCAGCGTTTAACACAGCGTTTAACACAGCGTTTAGCGCAGCCTTTAACACAGCGTTTAACACAGTTTAACACAGAGTTTAACACAGAGTTTAACACAGAGTTTAACGCAGCGTTTAACACAGCATTTAACACAGCGTTTAACACAGCGTTTAGCACAGCATTTAACACGTTTAACACAGAGTTTAACGCAGAGTTTAACGCAGAGTTTAACGCAGCGTTTAACACAGCATTTAACGCAGCGTTTAACGCAGCGTTTAGCGCAGCGTTTAACACGTTTAACACAGAGTTTAACACAGCGTTTAACACAGTTTAACACAGCGTTTAACGTAGTGTTTAACGCAGCGTTTAAAACAGCGTTTAACACAGTATTTAACGTAGTGTTTAACGCAGCGTTTAAAACAGCGTTTAACACAGTATTTAACGTAGTGTTTAACGCAGCGTTTAAAACAGTGTTTAACGCAGCACCTGCGAGACCAACACAGCACTTCTGGAGCGACGCTGAAACCGAATACATGCTCTACCAAATGAAGGGTTTCAATATTCTGCATCTTCTAGATTAAGTAGGTTCATATTTTCAGCTAAAGTGACTCAACGTTGTTAAAAAAGACGCTTGTGACGTTTGAGTTTTACGTCATGTTTACATCACGTCTTATTCTGTGAGTTTATTGGCCGCTTGTAAAGCAGAAATCTGATTACTGTCTGACTTTTATGTAACTGAGGAATCAGTTGCAAAACAGATCATCTGCATAAAGTTTATTTCATTATTAAAGAGAAAAACGACTCTGCAGGTTTATTAACCAACTAACACTGACCCACACCTGCTGTGAAACAGGCGCAACACACACAGACACACTAACACACTAACACACACACACACACTCACACAGACACACACACTCAAACACACACACACACACACACACACACTCAAACACACACACACACACTAACACACACACTCAAACACACACACACACACACACTAACACACACACTCAAACACACACACACACACTCAAACACACTAACACACACACACACTCACACAGACACACACACTAACACACACACACACACTCACACAGACACACACACTCACACAGACACACACACTCAAACACACACACACACATACACACACTCAAACACACACACACACACAAACACACTAACACACACACACACATTAACACACACACACACACACACACACTAACACAGACTGCATACACAAACCCAAACTACACACTACACAAACACACACTAACACACTCACACACACACACACACTCAAACACACACTAACACAGACTGCATACACAAACCCAAACTACACACTACACAAACACACACTAACACACTCAAACACACACACACACACACACACACACACACACACACTCCTACCCTCTCCATGGTTGTTGGTGTTACAGTAGAACACACAGTGCTGCTCTTTGATGAACTGTCCACTCAGCCGGATATCCACATCCTTCTGACCCGCCCTGACAAACAAACACACAAACATATAAATAAAAAAATAAGCAAACAGATAAACAGATAAACAGATAAACAAACACACAGAGAAGCTGAGGGTAAATGAGTCATAAAGAGCTCCTCACGGTGAATCAGATCAGTCACCTCAGTCAGACACTCACCTGGTCACTCCCTCTTTGATGTAATACAGCAGACACTCGGACATCAAGGGATCCTCATTCAGGTTCACCAGGTGAGGAGTCTACAGACACGCACACACACACACACACACGCGCACGCACACACACACAAACACGCACGAGCACACACACGCACACGCACACGCGCACGCACACACAAACACGCACAAGCACACACACAGTTAAACCACAGAGAAGTGTGTAGGAGAGAGGTTATGAAATCATTTCTACAGCAGATCAGCTGATCCTCCACACTCTGAGCTCCAATACTGATCAATACTCTTAGTGTCGGCTCTGTGAGAGTGTGTATGTGTGTGTGTGTGAGTGAGTGTAAGTGTGTGTGTTTGAGTGTGTGTGTGTGTATGTATCAGTGTGTGTGTGTGTATGAGTGTGTGTGTTTGAGGGTGTGAGTGTCTGTGTAAGTGTGTGTGTGTGTGTGTCTGAGTGTGTATGAGTGTGTGTGAGTGTGTTTCTGTGTGTGTCTGTGTGTGTGCGTATGTGAGTGTGTGTGTGAGTGTGTATGAGTGTGTGTGTGAGTGTATGAGTGTGTGTGTGAGTGTGCGTGAGTGTGTGTGTGTATGAGTGTGTGTGTGTGTATGAGTGTGTGTGTGAGTGTATGAGTGTGTGTGTGTGTGTGTATGAGTGTGTGTGTGAGTGTGTATGAGTGTGTGTGTGTGTGTGTATGAGTGTGTGTGTGTGTATGAGTGTGTGTGTGAGTGTATGAGTGTGAGTGTGTGTGTGTATGAGTGTGTGTGTGTGTGTGTATGAGTGTGTGTGTGTGTGTGTATGAGTGTGTGTGTGAGTGTGTATGAGTGTGTGTGTGTGTGTGTGTGTGAGTGTGTGTGTGTGCGTGTGTATGTGTGTGTGTCTGTGTGTGTGTGTGTTTGAATGTGTGTGTGTGTGTGTGTGTGTGAGTGTGTGTGTGTGTGTGTGTGTGTGTGTGTTTGAATGTGTGTGTGTGTGAGTGTGTGTGTGTGTATGAGTGTGTATGAGTGTGTGTGTGTGTGTGAGTGTGTGTGTGTGCGTGTGTATGTGTGTGTGTCTGTGTGTGTGTGTGTTTGAATGTGTGTGTGAGTGTGTATGAGTGTGTGTGTGTGTGTGTGTGTGTGAGTGTGTGTGTGTGTGTGTGTGTGTTTGAATGTGTGTGTGTGTGAGTGTGTGTGTGTGTATGAGTGTGTATGAGTGTGTGTGTGTGTGTGAGTGTGTATGAGTGTGTGTGTGTTTGAATGTGTGTGTGTGTGTGTGTGTGAGTGTGTATGAGTGTGTATGAGTGTGTGTGTGTGTGTGTGCGCGTGTGTGTGTGTGTGTGTGAGTGTGTTTGTGTGTATGTGTGTGTATGTGTGTATGTGAGAGTGTGTGTGTGTGTGTGAGTGTGTATGAGTGTGTGTGTGTGTTTGAATGTGTGTGTGAGTGTGTATGAGTGTGTGTGTGTGTTTGAATGTGTGTGTGAGTGTGTATGAGTGTGTGTGTGTGTGTGCATGTGAGTGTGTGTGTGTGTGTGTGTGTGTGTGTACTCACTCCTTTAGGTGAAAACACTCCCACAGTTCCCCCGTCCTCTTTAATAGACACGCCCATCTCTGCCAGCAGAGACTCTCTGAGAGAAACACACACACGGCATTAAACACACACACACACACACACACACACACACACACACACTCACACACACACACACACACTCACACATGTTCAAACACACACACGCACACACACATACACACCTATACACACACACACACTCACATACACACATACACACACACACACACACTCACACACACACACACTCACATACACACATACACACACACACTCACACACACTCACAAACACTGTGTTACCTCTCCAGTCGTATAGACTCCGTCTTCCTCAGCTTCTCCTCCCACGTTTCATTCAGCTCAGCGATGATCTTCTCTGTTTCCTGTTACAGCACAGTTATAACACAGTTATAACAGCACTCTATCACTCTATGTAACACTCTTAAAGCCTATTCACTGAAATTCAGTTAACACTGTGAGAGTGTATCACTCTGTAAAACTGTAACACAGCTCCTCCCCCTCACCCTCAGTGTGTTAAGCCCCTACCCCTTACCCTCAGTACCTTAAGCCCCTCCCCCTTGCCCTCAGTGTGTTAACCCCCTCCCCCTTACCCTTAGTGTCTTAAGCCCCTCCTCTTACTCTCAGGGTCTTAAGCCTCTCCCCCTCACCCTCAGTCTCTTAAGCCCCTTTCCCTCAGTCTCTTAAGCCCCTCCCCCTTGCCCTCAGTGTGTTAAACCCCTCCCCCTTACCCTTAATGTCTTAAGCCCCTCCTCTTACCCTCAGGGTCTTAAGCCTCTCCCCCTCACCCTCAGTGTCTTAAGCCCCTTTCCCTCAGTCTCTTAAGCCCCTCCCCCTTACCCTCAGTCTCTTAAGCCCCTCCCCCTTACC